CAAGTGGAGGGGGACAAAATGGGGCTTGAATATTTGTGATTTTCCATTTTCATGGATGGGGGAGAGAAATGGATCCCCGTGAAAATGGAGGGGTGACTGTATATGCATTATCTGTTTTTACAGTTTTGTATTTTAATTGCATAACTTGCTTAATTCTGTATAGTTTATATTTTATAACTTTTAGATTGTATGCCATTGGCAGGTTATATGTTGTTTTGATGATGCCTGTAAAGTGTCAGGCAAATTTATGGTGCTATATAAATAAATATGAAGAAGAAGAAGAAGAAGAAGAAGAAGAAGAAGAAGAAGAAGAAGAAGAAGCAAAAACAGAGTTGAACAGTAGCAGCTTTCTTTGTGCCTTACTGCATGACATCCTAGTGTTTCAGTTTTCTTTCCACACAAGATGGTTGTAAAAATGCATATTTTTTCCAGATAGAAAAATCAGTTCAATAAAAGACATGCTTTGTTGACTGTCTCCTGCAGGAAGAGAGCTGAAGTGCTACAACATCATGCGGTAAGGGATAGAGAAAGCAACTCCTCTCCAGCTCCATTTCTGCTTTGTTTCCTCATGCAATAAGGTTCTTACTATCATCCCAGTATTATCTATCATGACCAGGGAAAGAAATCCACCATCTGAGACAACAGTCATAGGTTGATAACTCTTCTTGTTTTGCAGCTCAAATCCAATTAAGCATTGTGAGGGTGGTGTGTATGAGTGTGTGTGTTTCTTGATAAGAAGAAAATCTACTTGACACCATATAAGCACTGTTTACTATACACTTGGCTAAAATTCCTGTGGTTTCTGTTGCTTAATGGGGAAAAAAGTAAGTATATGATATATTACAAATCTAATTAAGTTTTGTGAGCTTAAAAAAGGTACACTTGTAGTCTGCATTTGTATCACACAAGGTTAGGCCTTGTAAATTAGATGAAACACCATTAATAATCAAGCAAAATGAGGTCAGCTCTATTATAGCTTTCGCTCTTTCCACTCCTATTATCATAATTTTACACTTCTCATGCTTCACAATTGAGCAATGATTACTTTGCTAAATACTACATGAGTTTTGATAAAACAAACCCCCTGAGGAATCGAGGAAAAATAAGTCATTTCTATTCAGCAAAAAAAAAAAAATCCATTTTCACTGCGCAGGATATTACGAACCCAATTATCACTGTATGGAGACATGTATAATAAATAAGATGACAACAATCAAACACAAGCCAAGGTTTCACAGGCAGGATTGATAAAAGCTATTCTCTGCTGAAACTAGGAGAGTTCTTCGATACCCACTCAGAAAAAAAAGAGAGGGTGTAAAATTACAAATTGTCATCCCAAAGGAATTATAAAACTCTTGTCAACAACATCAGGAAATGGGATGGCAGCAGGTCTTGTACTGACAGGAACTAGAAATGGACAGATACGGTCAGCCCTTCACATTCACTGGGATTAGGGGCATAGGACCTCCAAGAAAGTGGGAAAACTGCAAATAAAAAAACTCTTTTTTAAAAACTTGAGACAGCATCTCTCTAGGAATCTCTAGGAATCTCTGTGGTCAACTTCTGCTGAAAACTGACTATAGAATCAGGCTGGAGGATCTACATGTGCCTAGAGAAATGTTCTTTATAGGGATCTCTGGGTCCAGCACCACAATTCAATAGGCAACTTCCATTGGAGAGAATGTATTGATCAAATCCATGGATAATCAAATCTACAAAAGTCAAAGCCACAAATGTGGAAGAGCAATTGTACATCTATGGTCAACTCACAATGGAAGTTGACCATAGAGTCAAGCTGGATGACCTAGAAATTCCTAGGGAAAACATATTAATCAAAATCTGTGAATAACCAAATTCAAAGCTGCAAATGTGGAGCAAATGTGGAGGGGCAACGTACATCTATGGTCAATTCTATGGTCAACTTATGGTGCAAGTTGACCATAGAGTCAAGCTGGAAGATCTAGAAATTCCAAGAGGAAACATATTAATTAAATCCATGAATAATCAAATCTGCAAAAGTCAAAGCTGCAAATGTGGAGAGGCAACTGTACACTCATTTCCAGTCTCTCTTGACTTCAAACACAATCACCACCTTTCCATATACATTTGGGGGGGGGGGCAGACAGAAGGTCTTCTTGGTGGTTGCTCCCAGGCCCTGAAACTCCCTCCCCAAAGATGCTAGGATGCCTCCTTCCTTGCTTTCCTTCTATGGGTAACTGAAAACTTTCCTGCTCAGACAGCCTTTCAGGAAGTGTCTACAAGGGCTTTTAATCGAGTGCTCTTTTGCTGACGTTTAGCTTTCATCGTTTAAATGGTTTTAATACACTTCCCAGAATTCCATAGCATTGAGCCATGGCAGTTAAAGTGGTGTCAAACTGGAATATCTCTGCAGTGCGGATGCAGCCCTAGAATTCAGTCTACTTCTTCAGACGCAGACAGTGATTATTATTTTTTCTCTGTTGCTAAGTTGGCTGCACTGTTCTCATAGCTATGGACAGAGGAGATGGCTCACACTTGTGCACTTTGTTTTTCTTTGTTTACTGCTGGACTGCATAACCCTTGGGAATTCATCTTCAATTGATTTCACCCTGGGAGAGAGTGTACTCCAGTCTAGTGTCCTACATGTTCATATGATTTAATTGCTGGCTGAAGGGATAAGTCTAAGTAGAATACCTGGGGAGCCAAATTCTACCATTAACTTTGTACACTGCCTCGATTGCCTTGCAGAGGAGCGGGTTAAAAATAAAATGTATTATTTATTATTATTACCTTTGTCTGGGAAGAGAGCCCATGAGCAAAAGGATTGGAGTGCTTCTTTGTGTAGACCAGGGGTAGGCAACCTTTCCCCTTTAAGGGCCGAAGAACTTCA